GTTTGCCCTGAAGGGTGTCCTGGATCAGGGTGGGGGTCCCCACTGGGGTGCCTGGCCAGTCTGGGTGAGGGGCTGAGGGCCGTTTTCCAGCTGGCGGGTGACTAAAGCTCCCAACTGCTCCTTTTTTTCTTTTTTTTTTTATTCTGGGCCAGCTTTAGCTCTGAGGCCTCAGCTGCTGAAAGCCGGTTTCTGGCCTTTGTTTTTCCTTCTGTATTTGATACAATGTTGCAGTCAGGCTGGCTGAACCTGGCTGACTAAAAGCGGGTTTCTGGGGTTTTGTTTAGCTTCTTATTTGCAACATAGTACATAGTTGCTTAGAGTTGCAGCTGAGAGGCCGGCAACTCAGGCGGGGAACGTTGGAGTCCGCCGTCACTGGAGCAAGCAAGCCTCCCTGTTCGCTTCAGTGCATGGCTGCCGGCCGCCATCTTGGCTGACAGTTAATTTGCATAAGGATATGCTGATTAGCCAATGAGAAGGGTAGCGGTCGTACGCTAATTACCATGTTTCTCTTTTATTAGTGTAGATATGGAGAGAAAACAACAGCAAATCAAACAAAATGTTAACCTGTGGGGAATTCAAGTGAAGGCTTTCTACATTTTTGCAGCGTTTCTGTAGGTTTCAAATAGAAAAGTGGCCTGGCCCGTGTAGCTCTGTTGCTTGGTTGTCATCCCATGCACCAGGAGGTCGCTGGTTTAATTCCTGGTCAGGACACATACCTGGTTTCGGGCTCAATCCCCAGTAGGGGACGTGCAAGAGGCAGCCAATCTATGGTTCTATCCCTCTCCCCCTCTCCTCTGAAATCAATGAAAAAATACTTCTAAAAATTTGATAAAGATGTTTTTTGAAAATATATTTTTATTGATTTCAGAGAGAAAGGCAGAGGGAGAGATAGAAACATAAATGATGAGAGAGAATCATTGACTGGCTGCCTCCTGCATGCCCCTCATTGGGGATTGAACCCATAATGCAGGCATGTGCCCTCACCAGGAATCAAACCGAGACCTCCTGGTACATAGGTTGAAGCTCAACCACTGGGCCACACTGGCCAGGTGATAAATATATTTTTAAAAGTTGTTACAAGAACACTAAAAAAAAAAGCTAAAACTTTTAGGTTATATATTTAAGCTGTTTTGAATTATCTATTTAAAATGTTTTATAAATTTAGCCTAAAAATATGAAGAAATTGTACTTTCAATTCCATTTAATGCTTTCATAACTGTGTTACTCATATTTTTATCCTATCAATTATATGTATATTCCATATCTACATGTTAAATAAAAATACCTCTACCTTTTGTACATTCATTTACAAAATATTTTAAATGCTTTTTATAGTTATTTTTAAATGATGACAATAATTTCTTTATCCTTTTTTAAAAATATTTTTTTGTTGATTTCAGAGAGGAAGGGAGATAGAAACATCAATGATGAGAGAGAATCATTGATTGGCTGCCTCCTGTATGCCCCACTCTGGGGATCCAGCCTGCAATCCAGGCATGTGCCCTGACCAGGAATTGAACCGTGAACTCCTGGTTCATAGCCGATGCTCAACCACTGAGCCAATCTGGCCGGGTTATTTTATCGATTATATTCAATGATTGTTTTTAGTTTGTTTGAACGTAGTTTTAAACCAGAATGCTATCTATTTAGTGGTGCTCTGACACACTTATACATATATAAATAACAAAGAACCTTGCAACCATCAAATTACCAATGCATTATATTTTGTTAAAGCATAGATAATTATTTTGCAATGTGATTTCCTAACCAATTTAACCTGGTAAATATGTCAAAGATTTGAGCAGAGAAAGGTATAACAGGAGGAAGATGGTAATTCCCTACAACAATATTTGACACACAGTGGGAACAAAATAAATATTTGTGGCAGGGGAAAAAGTATTATTACATAATTTCATATCATTTGCAATATATCATTAGAAACAATAAGAGTTGAATGATAATTAGATGCTTATGAATCTAAAGATGCAAAAATAATGTTTCTTAAAATCAACAGAAATCAAGTCACAAAAGCTTTTGGTGAAAATGAAGTTTTAAATATTTATTTTGACATGCTGTTTTTATGAAGCTATAACGTAGCAGAGATGTTGCTGTATTAATATCAAATTAAGACCATGAAAAATAAGACATTGTATATATTATATAATACATCAAGCTATAAAGTTATTAAAATTTTAAAACCAGAATTTGAAGGAATGTCACCAAGCCAATAGAAAGTTGCTAGTATTAAAATTTGTTGACACATGTCTACAGGACCGAATTCACGTTCTACTTGATTCAAGCCCTGACTCAACACTTATGGTGACTTCAGAAGCAATCCAAAAAAAGGTACAGTCCACAGGAAACATGTGCAAAGGGCTTTCAAATACTTTCTCTTCTTTAAATCAAAGTACCATTTAAGCACTTTATTTTCTACACAGAATGGTTTAGAATTAGTTGAAATAGGAGATACTGAAGATAAACTGAAGTTATGCATACTAGTATTTATGCATACTTTGAGTATATTACCATAGGTCACTGAAGAGTTTGATGCATTTTTATCATTCCATATGAATACCTTTTACACCTTTTACACATACTGCAGTGTGGGCATACAGATTTAGTGTAAGATATGTCCTGATCTCTATGAGTTTGTACTTTTAGTTTTTAATTTTATTTTATTTATAAGGGTGGCATTTATTCAGGTGTAAAACTCTATATACATCATCTGTATATTGTATTGTGTGCTCACCACCCCAAGTCAAGTCTCCTTCCATTACCATTTATTCCCCCTTCATCCTCTTCTACCTCCCTCCACCCCTTTTCCCTCTGGTTATCACCATACTGGTGTGTGTGTGTGTGTGTGTGTGTGTGTGTGTGTGTGTGTGTACACGTTTGGGGTTTTTTTGCTTAATCCTTTCACCTTTTTCACCCAGCCTCCCAACCCCTACCCCTCTGATAGCTGTTAGTCTGTTCTCTGTATCTATGAGTCTGTTTCTGTTTGTTAGTTTATTTTATTCGTTAGATTCCATATATAAGTGAAATCATATGGCACTTGTCTTTCTCTGACTGGCTTATTTCGTTTATTACTCTCTAGGTCCATCCATGCTGTCACAAAAGGTAAGATTTCCTTCTTTTTTACAGCCAAGTAGTATTCCATTGTGTGAATATACCACAGCTTTTTTATCCACTCATCTACTGATGGGCACGTAGCTGCTTCCAAATCTTGGCTATTGTAAATAATACTGCAATGAACATAGGGGTGCATAAAGTCTTTCGAATTAGTGTTTTTGGGTTTCTTCAGATATATTTCCAGAAGTGAAATTGCTGGGTCATAAGGCAGTTCCATTTTTTAATTTTTGAGGTAACTCCATACTGTTTTCCACAGTGGCTCCACCAATCTGCATTCCCACCAACAGTGCACGAGGGGCATTTTCATTTCTAATTAAAGTTAATCACAATTTCTACTTCAAGATATTCCACAACTTAAGGGGGGGGGTAAAAAGAGTAGTACAGTTGCTCAAAGGAAGCATGAGTTGAATTAATACAAATTTCAGGAAAAGGATTTGAAGTATTTTTCATAAGACAGGAATCTAACAAGATAAATACGTGAACGTTTTATACTATATTACCAAAGATAAAATCTCCCTGAAAATCTCTTCCATATAAAAATTCAAAATGAAAACTGATCAAGCCATATAAGCAGAGAATGTACATCAGCATTTTGAGAATTAGTAACCTAATACATAATTGCTCATTAAAACATTCAGCTGCACAGGAAATATTACAATATAATATAAGAAATAGCACCTTATAAAATTCAAGTTATCTAAAATGAGAGTTTGCAAAACTATTCTGAACTACAAATCACGTGAAATCATTTGAAAAGGAAGTGGTAACAAAATTTTGAAGTGTAATGTTACATGTTGATGTAAACACAAGCAATAACAACATTTCAAGCCAAATTGATGCCTATATATTATGGTAAGCAAAAGTTCCTTTTCTTTTTAAGTCACATATTTAGTGTTCTCTCTAAACTGGGTTAGTTTACTTGACTAAGCAGCATATCTTAAGAGAAGGAGGAAAATTTTTAAAGGACCTACTTTAGAATCAAAACAGTATAAAAGTGTATCTTTCAGTGTATCATTCTATTAAACACACAGAGAGCTTTACTATAAGCCTTGCTTTCCAGTGCAATTCAGATAAAATGAGTCTGTTTCGGGCCATAGCCCAAAACTTCTTACCTCAGTACCTCAAAAATGTTATTATAACATGATTTTTATTAGACGATTCCATGGAATAGAGCAGCCTTTCCCTGCCAGAGTTCCGAATGTAATATTATGATCAGACCTAATGTCTTTATTTTTTTAATAAGGGAGGCAAAGTATATACTTATGTTGTTTCTAATCCTTCAAAATCTTTAGAGTTGAAAAGGTTATCTTTGAATGGCTATTTCAAATAAAAATAAATTTGCTTAGTAGTGTAAGTAATTTCAATGGCGTAGACATATTTTCAAATAATATTTTCCAATTGTGACATTTATATCAAAAGTCTCACGACAATAAAGTATATCCATGCTTCCAAAAACTGTTATTAGTCAAAATGCTCCCTTATAACTTGAAAAAATAGCTCTTGGTTTCAAGAAACACCAATACATTATTAATAAGCTATTATAACTCTGTATTTACTTTCATTTACAAATATCACATAAATTATTACTGGTAGAAATATAATGTTAAATTACTAAACTAATTTCTAAATATTGGTTTTTAAAGCTTTGAGCATACGTTGCAAAACAATTTAGTGAAACTAAAAAAAAAAAACCTAACAAAAGGGTTTTTTTGCAAATAATACACTGACTATTTTCTTAATGATGATCGCCTACCCAGGAGTTGATAAATACTTGCATAGTTCTTGTAGAAAATGGACCTGGCACAGTGTGAAGACAAATATTGGCAAACACCACGTGTCTCAAGTTATATTTGAAGAAATAATACAATCTGTAGTATTTCATGAAGTTGTTTATTCTTGTTATTAAAACTTGGACTCAAGTAATCCTGGTTATTCTGGAAAAAGCACCTTGTTTGTAGAGGTCATTTAATCATCCTTTTCTACAATCACCTCTCCATGAAGCACCTTTCTTCTTTGACGTAACATGTGGAAATAGAGTTGTGGAAACACTTCATTGAAAAAAGAAAACAAAGAAAGATAAGCTATTGTTGGAAATTATTTAAACTTGAAACCTCTTAAAAGTGGCAAAGTTTGAAAGCAAGCACATCAGATGCCACCTGCTACCCCTTCGTATTTACAGAGCTCAGGGTGAGAGTACAAATGGAGGCCATAGACCATCTGCCTACAGACTTTAATGCCATAAGCTGTGAGGTCTCATGGCAAACTTTAATACTACCTTGACAAATATACTTTCATGATGACCTGGAAGGCCATGTTTGAAGTTAGTAATAATTTGGAATATTGTGCCAGAACATTCCAGCACAGAAGAGCTGCCCGCCTGGCCCCCTGCTCTCCATTCCATTGGCTGTCCTATACCACGAGGGGTATTGTGAATATATGTGTGGATATGCAAGCCCACACAACTCATACCCCCATCCATACCCCTCACAAACAGCTGCCCCTAGCTCCCCCTGAATTTCAGGGCCGTGTACACTGCCGACATGGTTAACCCTCAGGAGAACGGATTGGGGAGGAGGCCTATGCGGTGCCTAGATGTACACCCAGTGCCATGTGGGCAGCAAATTCCATGGTTCTGGGTTTCCAAAGTGTGATCTAGAAGGCGAGGGGTGGAGAGGTGATCAGTGGACAGCCAGAACAGGGCCCAGAGCAGAGGCCCCTCTTGGCTGGGTATAAGGGTAGTCTGTTTTATACAATCACATGCATGTGCATGTATTAGATCAGTTAGACAAACTGTCATCTGCCCTATCAAATTTGGAAAATTATTCTGAGTCAATGTGAACCAGTGATTTAAATTACAGTGTAAGCGTTAATAGATGAACAAATTCATATTAACTAGCAACAATACAAATGTAAAAACATCCCTGAAAATGGAACACAGAATAATCAAACCAATGACTTTAATGACAAAACAAGCTTTGAATATCTAGCTTCAGCAACTTCAGATAAGTATTTCTAGACAGGCTCAAATGGAGCAAAAATGCACAACAGATTTTACTTTTTAATATGTAGGTTCTACTCATCTTAATATATGTAACCATCATACTATACCTAGAGGTCTAAATATATTCAGGTCATATATACTTAAAGCTAACTGACCAGTGATTGCAAATGCTTCTCTAACATTCTGAGTTTAAGTGTAGGCTTGAGTTCAAATCCTGACTTTATTTACTAGCTGGGTGACTTTTAATCCATCCACTTAACCTCTCTAATCTATAAAGTCCTCATGATAAATGAGAACTAACAATACTTCGTTTGAAAATTAAAATAAGTACTCAAAAAGTACTCTTAATATTTTAATTAGCAAGGAATTTAGTAAGCAAAGCAACATTAGTTATCATTACTAATAATAATCAAGTGGAGAACATCCCCCTGGCTCAGTGGTCGGCAAACTACGGCCCCTTGAGTGTGGCTCTTCCTAAGCCTTAGGAGTACCCTAATTAAGTTAATAACAATGTACCTACCTATATAGTTTAAGTTTAAAAAATTTGGCTCTCAAAAGAAATTTCAATCGTCGTACTGTTGATATTTGGCTCTGTTGATTAATGAGTTTGCCAACCACTGGTCTAAGGTTATCAGTTTGCTGGTTTCAACCGTGATCTGTTGGGCCCTGGGTTTTCTTGCAGATGGCTCAGTGGTCAAAAGGAATGAGAGCCCAACCCCTGAAACTGCAACTATGATATGACAGACATGGAAGCAAGGTCTGGCTCTGCTCAAGGTGTGCTGCCATTCACTGGGTGTCGGGAAAAGCAGGGGACACAAACAATTGTCATAGGTGTACCACTCCCTAGCTCTCCTGAACCAACGCTGGTGAAAATCTAACGAGAGCCAGGCTGAAATGGTACAAGTGAGGGGAATAAAAACACTAACTGACAAAAGTCCATTTTGATTTCTGAAAAGCTTAAAAAATTGGCTGGGCTGGTGTGACTCAGTGGTTGAGGGTCAACCTATAAACCAGGAGGTCGTGGTTCAATTCCCGGTCAAGGCACATGCCCGGGTTGTGGGCTCGATCCCCAGTAGGGAGCGTGCAGGAGGCATCCGATCAATGATCCTCTTATTGTTGATGTTTCTATTCCTCTCTCCCTCTCCCTTCCTCTCTGAAATCAATAAAAATCTTTTTTTAAAAACTGGAGGCCTCCAGGTGCTGGCCAGTTTTTATATTCATCCCCTTTAGATGATGTATTTTATACTGCATCAATGTAGACTTTAGATTCTATAAACTTTTCTTATTTCCCTTTCGCCTCACTGCCACCAATCTCTAATTTTATTCAGAAGGGTAACTAACCACCTTGCTTTACATTATTTCCTGCTAATAACTATCAAAATTTGACCTAAACATGTACCATTAGTACTTAAATGAAACAAGTAAAGCCTCACTAATTCATTGCAACTATTGAAAGATGATGAGAAATTAGAAGAGGCTGAGTTACTCAAAATATTTTAAGAAAAGTAGCTTCTTTATTTTCCAGAGCATAGAGCAACATATATAAGACTAAAAAGTACTCCTAGATGATTTCTCCAAGTATATGCTTAATGAATAGATAAAAATGACCTGACATTTTCTAGGATAAAATGTTTCTATTCAGATATGTAACTCTAAATGCTTACAAATAGTTCACTGAACCATGCTTTATCTTTTCTTTAAAAAAATAAATCATACTTAGCTTATTTTAAAGTAATTTTGAGAAGATAATCATTTGTAAATTAATTTACTTACCTTTCTTCTCATAACTTGGAAAAAGCCTTTTCTAACTCACTAGCTCTTCAATTATTTCATATTAGTGAATATATGTGGGATTGAATAGAGGTTTTTTTTATATATACACATTTATTGAAATGTCAATTTCATATCATAAAATTCACCCATTTTTAAGTGTACTGTTTTAGTTTAGTAAATTCATACAGCTGTGCAACCATCACTACAATCAAGTTTTAGAGCATTTCCATGAACAGAAGTTTTAATGTATTTGTAAGCTGTTACTTCTCCTTGCTTATTAAGCTAGCAATTATGATATCTTTCCAAAAACTTTCATAGCACATGCTAAATCAAAGTACTAATAAATACATACTTACATGGTATATACGATGCCATGGTTATAAGAAGAAAATAATAGTAGTCAAAAGAGATATTGTATTTATTAGGAAGTCTTATTGAAAACATCCCAGTTTTCTTCACATATGGTAAGGCAGCGTATATCGTGAGAAGTTCACCAGCAACTCCAACAGGATATAAGATGATAAAAAAATTATATCTGGAAAAAAGAAAAACCTCAAAGTTATTTTTCTAGAATAAATATTGAATTTTATATCATGGTTCTTTTGCTACTGCTATGTTTAAACTTAAAAATTCTCCTTCCTATACATATTTACAATAACTTCACATGAAAGGGTTAATTTTTTTCCTAATCATTTGCTTATTAATTTAATTATCATCCTTTTTTCCCATAGCACTTTCCATTTCAAATGGCAAGATCATAAAGTAGTCAACTTACTTTAAAGTACTATACATTTTTACATGTATATGCAGTTTTTAAACTAGTTTGACCAGTTAACTGCCACAATATTTTGAATTTAATTAAAAAAGGTCTGCCGCTTGCATCTATAGATGCTTATGGCGTACAAATGGTTAAAAGGTGTAAGTATTAAGTTGTAAAGCATATGTAAGCTTGTAAGGTATTTTAAAGGTAACTTCTTTGACACCTGGAATCATAACTGACTGATTTATTCCCCTGAAGCTACACATTTATCATTCAAATGCTATGCTTTAAAAGACCAGCTATGATCCTAATTTTACATCTAAATCTTGAAATTACCTATTTGAAGGGATTTGGAAAACCCTTTGTGGTTACTAATTAAAAGATAATTGATATTTCAGAAAACTGATATTACCTAATGCATCAGTAACCAGTAATTGTCTAAGACTACTATCACAACAAAACAAGTAAAACAAGCTGTCCCCTGAATTCCTACATTAATAAATACTGTAGTTTAGGTAGCCTGGCCAGTGTGGCTCAGTGGTTGAGCATCAACCCATGAACCAGGAGGTCAAGGTTAGATTTCTGGTCAGGGCACATGCCTGGGTTGTGGGTCAATCCCCAGGAGGGGGTGTTTCTATCTCTCTCTTCCTCTCCCTTCCTCTCTGAAATCAATAAAAAATATCTTTAAAAAAAATAGTTTAGCTTGCTTAAATTAGAACTAAAAAGGTTCTATTCTAAATCCCCAAATCACAATTTGTTCACGTGGACTGTGGCAAGTTCCCTGACATAGAGCAGGCCAGGCATCATTTATGCTGCAGTTAGGGCAACAATCTCCAAGTTCCTACTGGTGTCCAGCAGCAGCAGCCTCAAGGACCCAAGGCATTAAAGAAAACAGTTTTTCTCCAAGCCAGTCATTATGTAGCCGAAAATTAAGGTCAAAATTCTGGTGGAAAAAGAATCCATATTTTATTTAATCATTGTTGGCATTAAGAAATATTTATAAAGAAAAATCAAATTTGTCAGTATGACAGAAGCCTAGAGACAATCTTATTCCTAAAGGCCCGATGCAGGAATTCGTGCACCAGTGGGGTCCCCCGGACTGGCCTGTGGGATCTGGCCAAAACTGTCTCTCTGACATCCCCCGAGGGGTTCCAGATTGCGAGAGGGCGCAGGCCAGGCTGATAGGCCAGACCCCAGCAGCAAGCTAACCTACCAGTTGGAGCGTCTGCCCCCTGGTGGTCAGTGCATGTAATAGTGAGTGGTTGAGCAACCTTAGCATATCATTAGCATATTACATTTTGATTGATTGAACAGCCGACTGGACGACCGGACAACCAGACACTTAGCATATTAGGCTTTTATTATATAGGATGCCAGTTATACAAGGATAAAAGATGGTTGACAGGGACAGAATTATTTGCCCAAATAGATTAACTAGTAAAGAAAGAAAACTGGCCCAGCCGGCATGGCGACTGAGCATTGGCATGGCAATTGGGTTGCAGGCTGGATCCCCAGTGTGAGGCGTGCAGGAAGCAGCCAATCAATGATTCTCTCTCATCACTGATGTTTCTATCTCCTTCTCCCTCTCCCTTCCACTCTGAAATCAATAAAAATATATATTTTAAAAAAGAAAGAAAAATTATCCTTTTCCTGTTCCAGTTTACCCCCTCCTTTCCTTCAGTATATCTAACCTGCTTTCTTTCCAGTCTGTGTAGTTATTTGTATCATTTAAATCAATCTTTTCCAATATCATTTTCCTATCTCAATTTAAAATCATATTACTGAACATATTATATTCCTTTTTCAAGTAAAACATTCAAACTTATTTAAGTCATTTTTATTAACTTTATGTGATTCTCAGCTTTTTTTGGTAGCATTGTTCTTTAATAGAAAAAAAATCACTCCTATGATAAACTCGTTTAAAGCCTTAAAGAGTGATTATTTTTAATAAAATGGTAATAAATTGTATAATTTATTTGACTTTATTTGTATTTTAAAAAGATTACATCATCACTCTCTAAGTTCTGATGGCAGTATGATTTAACTACCATTCAGAAAAAGATACAATGTTCCTTAAAGATTCCTAATTTTCACCTAAAAATTTTTGAAGGGAATGTATTTTTTAAGTTAAGCTGGAAATTAAAATGAAAACAACAATATACAATGATCTGTTTGGAGGACTTTCTAAGAATACTTCTAACACAAATAGGATCAAGTTGTATTCAAACTGTCACACTAGGCTAACTAGTTATAAATAAAAAGGCATTTCTAAAGTGAAGCTTTATTTGAGAACAATATCTTCAATATTTGAACATAAGTACAAATATGATTTTAGGTTCCTTATGGGGATTGGCAAATATATATATATAGACAGTTGGTATCTTTACAATTTTTGGCACAAAATATAATAATTATAATGAACTGACATGATGTATTATGCTAACATGTGCATTTCAAATTTGAAAGATTTTACAGTACCTTATTTAACATCAAGGCAATTGACAAAGGATTTCTGAAGAGCAAATTTTAAATGCTATGGCAGAATTGTGAACTTTTCCAGAAATTCAAAACATGCAAATGCATCCCCAAAGGCAAACACACAAAGCATTCAAGACCACTATCTTCCACAAATGTTATAAATAACAGCAAATTTAAAAAGACTATATCATGAATCTATATTTTTAAAGGCGTTAGAGACGGAAAGAATGAGGTCATGCAAAATGGCACTAACAAGCATTCTGGATTAGAGTACAGCTTCCAAACCGCCAACATTATGAGGGGCCCAATCACCGAAAGTGAGTGTGTTTTATTCAGATACAACAGGAATAAAAACCAACCAAACACATATAAATGGTAATGCAACTTTCTTAAGACAGACAGTATGTTTAAGCTAAAATTATAATTTTAAAGAATTTTATTACATACAAAATGGTAAGCCAAAAATGTTGAAAAAGAACTATAAAATATTTTTAAAAGTTTAAAAAATTATATAACACAATGGTGATTATCCAAAACAAACCTGACACCAGCTTACAGATTACCTTCAAACAAGGAATGTATGAGTATAAATATCAGAGCTTTAAAAAACATCAGAAATATGGATATAGCATTATTTGAGATGCTGTATTTATAACATTTGAAAATTGAAAATGACCTAAATTCTAGCAATACAAAACTGGGTCCTTAATACTATGGGATATTAAAGAGTTAAAGAGCTAAATCTAAATATACCTATAGTGATTTAGAAAAAAAAAAGATCTCCAACATATAAACAAAAAGCAAGTATAATGTCATCCTATTTATGTTTTTTAAAACTCACACTGTGTTCACATTTTTGATAATATGAAAAAGTCTGGATGGGTAAAGGCCACACTTTTTCCCTCCAAGGGGTAGGGAGTGGGTCAGGTAAGAGTGCAAAGAGAAACTTTCTGTGTTTATTCTACAAACTTCTGTGCTATTTGAGCCTTTTACAAAGAAAACATATTATTTCTGTAGTTTAACAGACAAATGTAAAGAAATGGAAATACTGTGAAACCCTTTATCCTACCCACATGGGACAGACGTATACGAGATGCACATCTCTTATCCTGTGCCTCCCTGAACTTCTTACCCCCTGGCATTTCACAGAGCTGTTAGTGGGATCATTTTTTGCCTCCTCCATCTTAAGTGGGCAGGGATTTTGTTGTGCTCATGCCTGCATTTCAACTATGCAGTTGGCGCAGAGCACATTAAGTTGTTATTGATGTGATTGCCACTAGAAGTACAACAGAAAATGAAATGAACAAACCTATGCTTTGCGGTTTGTTCTCCAAAGAACAATCTTGTTTTTATAATAATTTTGTAAAATATCAGCTGCTCAAAGAATTCAGCCTTTAAAAAGAAAAAAAAATCTTTTGCTTTAAAAATTACTGTTTTAGGATATATATATTTAGAACCTTTGAAATATAAATTTTGTTCCCAGTCCAAATAATACAAATAAGTGTGATTTTTTAAATGTCTGTCGCTTAGTATTTTATACATACAAAAAATTGACATTATATGTATAAGATACTAAAAATTGTGGCTACTGCATTGAATATTAAAATAATTTAAATCAATGAGACAAAATGCCATGTTTTTGGCACACTGTTTATCTAATATAATTTCCAAAATGCATATTTTGCTTTTAAAGAAAAAACGAATGACCAGTTTAGAGGTTAAAGGTACTAATATAATTTGTCTTATATTGATTTCCTAAAAGTATAGATTATTTCTCTCTGATCATTAATTTAAGCCTTTAGAATGCAGCTTATAATGTTTTGCTAAGTATGCAGAACAACAGCACCCTGGCATTACAGGGCTGAAACACAAATTTTAATTCTCTGGTGTTAGCTCAGCAACAAAATATGCATGCACAGGACTGTGAGAAACTAAACTACAAGGCATCGCCACCTGGCCCACTTAATGAAGTATGGCAAGTGGTTGAGGAGACTGAATGTGTAGAAGGAATAGCGAGTAATCTCTGTCACAGTCCACGCGACCAGAAACAGCACCACACTCTCCTCATTCTGGATCTGCAGAATGACAGAGAAATCCACAGTGTTGTTGGAGCTTGAGCTTTTTTCTCCATGAAGATATTGTCTCTTAATTATTTACGGTGTGTCTTTTATTATAATGGCATGGTAGGGTTAGACAGATGTAATACAGAAAACTAATGCAGTCACCACTATGTAATTCATTATAAACACACAATTTCAGTGTATCCTCAGCACAGGAATGGTCACATTTGTACTGGATTCTCTCTCACAATTCACTCCAGCCAGTAACTCAGCTATCCCAGGGCAACATCGCCCCCTCAAAACAGCATGGGAACAATCTAACCCCCCGGCTTTCTATTAGTCATCAAATCAGACCCATTCTACTGTAGCACGAACTCCTGAATCTGCCCACTCATCTTTGGCCCTGCTACCAGGGCCTTATCATCTCTCATCCAGACTATCGGGACAGCCTCCTGACAAATCTCGCCACTGCTTTATTCTCTTCATGGGTGAAAGTTTTCTCTTAAAAGCAAAACAAAGAAGCAAACAAACAAAAACAAAATTGGAGGCAGCTAGTCCTGTGATTTGAGTCTCAGTGGTTTCCCACTATTTATGAGGAAAGGATACAATCCTACCACCTGAGCATGAAGTTCAAGGTTCTTTATAATCTGAGCTCAGAAATCTCTCTAACTTCATCTGCAAACACTTGATCCAACCCCACCCCAAACTCCCACCCCAAATCCCCAACACCTCTCTCTGGTGACATTAAACTTTGTATTCTTTCCAGAACATGCTCTGAACACGTATGCCTTAACACATGCTATTCCCTCTAACTAGAATGCTAATCCCATAGAAAACCCCTTCTCATCTCATATTTTAAGATCCAGCTAAAATATCACACCCTCTGGAAAACTTCCCAAACAATTCCTTTCACCCTGAGCAGTTATTTGCTCACTTTCCTTATTCTCACAGTATTTTGTTCATATCTGTATTATAACACTTGCCAATTTTGTACTAAAATTTGTCTGCCTGACTCTTGCATCCCTATCAATACTCAACTTATACATTCTTTCCTCAGGGAGCTTATCTTCACTCCCTAGGTCAGGCTAAGTCCCGAAGTATATTGCCATGCATGCTGGTCTCTTGGTTCAAAGCACTAATGTTAATATAATGAAAAAATTATTTGTGCAAAAACTTGTCTAGTACCCGTATCTATCCCAATCACAGGCGCTGAGGCTGAAACTCTATTTGCATTACTAATAGCCAGATCCCCAGCATGCTGGCTGGGAGTGCCTTATTCATTGTAAATCCAGAAATTAACACAGTGCCAGGTGTATAGAATGCACTCAATAAATGTTGGTTGAATTAATTAAAGAGTTAGACAAAATTAAATAGTACTATTAAGGTAGAGATCCTCTGGAGGATTAAAAAAAAAGAGCAAGCAGATGGATCTTTTTTCTCTTTGGGGACTAGCCACCTTTACTTGTCTTCAAATTCTTTTCTCCAGTTAATGTTGGCCACCCTGTCTTTTCTTTCTTCTTCCTCAGTCTTCAGACTCTTTGTGATCCTGGCCCAGCTGTTATATTCATTCCCTGTCCAGAATAGTCTCTCTTTTATTCTGTTAATGTCCGACCCCTGCTTTTAAACTACAAGGCAATCTGAATTAAAAGTCTGGCTCTCCATGTGGCATGCACTCATTGCTCTCTGTATGGCAGTCATTGGTTAGGGACCAGATGGATGGAGTAAGTTGAGTGAAAGATACTGGTCAAGAGGGCTGGAGTGTAGAGTAATAAAAGGGCAGAAGGTCAACAATCTGTCCCCATGCAGACAGGGGGGAGGGGGGGACAGTGAGTCCTGCAGGCAATGGAAGGGAGGTTAAGTATCATCCCAAGTAGAGAAAGGCATCTGAGGAATGGAAAGGAGGCCAGAGATCTGTCCTCAAGTAGACAGGAGACTCCAGAGGCTGTCAAGAAGGTCAGAAGGGCCCATCTGGGAAATGTTTGTCATGGGTTTAAAAGGCCCAATGTCTTGACATAGTAAGCACGTGTTTGTTTGTCTAAAAGGGTTTAAGCCATTAACTAGATCCGGGTCTCTCTCCTGTCATGCCTCAGTATATAACGTGCTTGTTTTCCCTAAGTTCCTTAACCCTTCTAACTTTTTGTCTTTGACATTTGTTCATATCTCCAGAACTACATTTACTTTTTATGTGTGTTGCTAAAACACTCAATGCTAAATGAGGAAAAATAAATGGTTTACATTGACAAGTTCAAATTACATAAACAAAGACAATATACATAACTTCAGTAGAAAATTTTCAGTTAAGCATTTGACAGAATAGTAATAGTAATTTTAAAAACTGGAACACACCAGAGGAGAGTATATTATGAATATAAAATGCTAATATTTGGTTTTGCTTGTGTTTCAAAGTTATTCTACTAATTCGTTGAGTCAAAGGACAAACACTTAAATCAAAACCCAAGCTTTCTTTTGTCCAATGATTTTGCTTCCTGAAATATACCAGTACTAATATTTTAGATTCCTATTAATAAAAGAGCTGTCTTGCAGGCTCAAGTAGAGAACATGTTCATGTCACTTACTGGTTTTATGCTATGAGTAATGAGCCACACCATAAAGATTCTGGAACTGACTTGGACCCCAGCCACAAGCACAGAAGTAGGTACAATTCCTTAAAGAAAAAAACAAGTCAACCATTGTCTTCAAGGTAATTTATACCAAATATAAAAATTAAATTAAAAAACTCACCAATTAAGCAGTGGACTATCTGTAAGCAAATAAAAAAATCACAAGTCAGTACCATACAACATAAAATAAATCCTAGTTGACATTGGTTTTAAATAAATCTGTAAGTGGTATGTAATCAGCAAAATTGCTTTTGCTCAACAAATATATTTTCAAATAAATATTACAATGACAAAAAATAGAATAATTGAAAACTTACCTCAAGCAAGGCAAATGTCTGGAAAAATTTAAGTGTCTTCTGAATACTTTTATATAAACCTTTGTGTGTTCCTTTTTCCATATAAAAACGCACCATGGTAATAGCTAGAACCAACCACCTAGAGAAAATGAAAGTATTTTATAAAGTGTTGTTAAAATGAATACAACTAATCTTCCTATAAAGAATGCCATAATTCAAATAATAATAACATGTATGTCTTAATTTGTTATTCTGTTTTTAAAACCTGAGGAAGAAATAACAAATATTACTTTCACATGAACTCTTCAAGGGGAAGAACAGAACATATTTGCAACCAACTACGTACAAATGTAAAACAATGTCGACTGTATCTTTGGTTCCACCAGATAAACTGACAGACTGAAAAAAATCAGGTTTATTAGCAAAAATGAACTTATTATAAAGCATTTAGTAATCATATAGCGAATTAAGGTAAAAAGCTGTGTAAATATGTACTTTATACAAATACATAATACATAACTATATATAATTATAAGTAAAGTCATTAATAAGAATCAATTAATATTTTTATAATTTTCATTAAATAAAAAAAAATCGCTGTGTCACACAACAACCCCAAATCTATGGGACACAACAACCCCAAATCTATGGGACACAGCAAAAGCAGTCCTGAGAGGGAAGTTTATAGCATTACAAGCCTACATCAAGAAACAAGGAAAAGCTCAAATGAACGATCTAACCCTAAATCTAAAAGAGTCAGAAAGACAATAACAAGAAAATCCCAGAGTAAATAGAAGAAAAGAAATTATAAAGATCAGAGTGGAGATAAATGACATACAGACTAAAAAAAATAATAATAATACAAAAGATCAATGAAACCAAGAGCTTGTTCTTTGAAAATATAAACAAGATTGATGAACCTTTAGCCAGGCTTATCCCACTTCTAGGAATATATCCCAAGAAACTAGAAACACCAATTAGAAAGGATATATGCCTCCCTATGTTCATAGCAGCACAATTTACCATAGCTAAGATCTGGAAACAGCCTAAGTGCCCATCAGATGAGTGGATTAAAAAAAACTTTGGCACATCTACACAATGGAATACTATGCTGCTGTAAAAAAGAAGGAGTTCTTACCATTTGCAACGGCATGGATGGAACTGAAGAGCATTATGCTAAGTGAAATAAGTCAGTCAGAGAAAGATAAATATCACATGATCTCACTCATTTGTGGAATATAATGAACAACATAAACTGATGAACAAAAACAGATCTTGAAACAGAGAAGCATCAATCAGATGCTCAAACTTCAGAGGAAAGGTATGGGAGGGTGGGGGTGAGGGGGAGAGATCAACCAAAGGACTTGTATGCATGCATATAAGCATATGCGATGGATGCAGACAAGGGGGTGAGGGTGAGGGCAGGACTGGGAGGATGGGGGGACAATGGGGGAATAAGGACACATTTGTAATACTTTAATCAATAAAGAAAAAACAGAAACAAATAGAAAAGATCCAAGTCAATAAAATCAGAAGTAACTGACATCACAGAAATACAAGATTTTTTAAGAAAATACTATGAACAATCATATGCCAACAAACTGGACAACCTGGATCAAGTGGACAAATTCCTAGAAACACACAATCTTCCAAAACTCGATGAGGAAGAATCTGAAAACCAGAATAGGCCAATGACAACTAATGAAATTGAAGCAGTAATCAAAACACTCCCAGCAAACAAAAGCCTTGGATCAGATGGCTCCACCGGCAAGTTTTACCAAACATTCAAAGGAGAACTAACACCTATCCTCCTCAAACTATTCCAAAAAATTCAAGAGGAGGGAATTTAAGCTCTTTTGACAAGGCCAGCATTATCCTAATTCCAAAACTAGATAAAGATACTGTACTACAAAGAAAGAAAATAACAGGCCAATATCCCTGATGAACATAGATGCTAAAATCCTCAACCAAATATTAACAAATCAGATCTAGCAATACATTAAAAAGATCATACACCATGACCAAGTGGAATTTATTCTGGAGATGCAAGGCTGGTACAATATTCACAAATCAATAAACATGATACATCACATAAACCAAATGAAGGATAAAAATCACATGATCATATCAATAGATGCAGAAAAAGCATTCAACAAAGTCAACACCCATTTATGATAAAAACTCTCAGCAAAGTGGGAATAGAGGGGTCATACCTCAACATAAAAAAGCCATATATTGCAAACCTACAGCCAATATCATACTCAATGGGCAAAAATTAAAAACGTTTCCTTTAAGATCAGGAACAAAAAAGGGATGTCCGCTTCCACCATTCTTATTCCACATAGTACTGGAAGTCCTAGCCCCAACAATCAGACAAGAAGGAAAAATAAAAGGCATCCAAATCAGAAAGGCAAGAGTAAAACGGTCATTATTTGCAGATGACATGATATTATAGATAGAAAATCCTAAAGACTCCACCAAACAAAAAACTACTAGATTTAATAAATGAATTTGGCAAAGTATCAGGATACAAAATTAATATCCAGAAATCAATGGCATTTTTATACACCAATAATGAACTGTCAGAAAGAGAAACTAAAAAAAAAAAAAATACAATTTACCACTGCAACAAAATAATAAGATACCTGGGAACAAACTTAACCCAGGAGGTAAGAGACCTATACTCAGAAAACTATAGGACACTGAAAAAGGAAAGAGAGGAAGATACAAATAAATGGAAACATATACCTTGTTCATGTACTGGAAGAATTAATATCATTAAAATATCATAATACCAAAACAATCTATGCATTCAACTCAATACCATTAAAATACCAACGGCATATTTCACAGATCTAGAACAAATATTCCAAAAAGGTATATGGAATCAAAAAAGACTCTGAATAGCCTCAGCAATCTTGGGAAAGAACAAAGTTGGAGGGATCACAATATCAGACATCAAACTATACTACAAAGCCACTGTAATAAAAAGAGCCTGGTACTGATGCGAGAATAGGCATATAGGGTAGATCAATGCAACAGAACAGAGACCCCAGAATTCGACCCATGCCAATATATTCAATTAATATTTGACAAAGGAGGCAAGAGCACACGATGGAGTAAAGACAGTCTCTAAATAAATGGTGTTAGGAAAATTGGACAAATACATGCAAAAAAGATGAAACTAGACCACCAACTTACACCATGCACAAAGACTAAACTCAAAATGGATGAAAGACTCAAATGTAAGTCACGAAACCATAAAAATCCTAGAAGAAAACATAGGCAGTAAAATCTTAGATGTCTCACATAGCAGAATTTTCACTCATACATCTCCTAGGGCAAGAGAAACAAAGGAAAAAATAAACAAATGGGAATACATCAAGCTAAAAAGCATCTGCATAGCAAAAGAAACCATCAAAATGAAAAGGGAACCCAAAGTATGGAAGACATATTTGCCAATGACACATCTGATAAGGAATTAATTTCCACAATATACAAACAACTCATACAATTTAACACCGGGAAGACAATGTTCAGCGAATGATTAGCACGTGATTACATCGAATTGCACACGGTAATTGGTTCTGTTGTCCCGTGGTGTGACTTTCTACAGCAGGTTTAACGCATGTCAGCCTATGCTCCCACGGGCACTAAGCCACGCCGCAAGAGTGTGTATTTGTTTACTCACAGTGACTGATGAATGCACACTTTCGCTAGACTCACTCAGCCTAAATGTAAATTACTGTGATGCATATGGAAAACTTTTCTGTGAAATTAAACTTTTCATGCTTATTTTTAATTACACAAAGTGTCTACATAAGTAAAAACTAATTTGTCAATCTCCTACCATACATATTCAGAAAACCTACTTTATTATATAATGGACTTTCAGCTTTAACAGATACCCCCTTGCCCGAATAAATCGAGGTTTTACTATATTTTTAAAAAGCATGATATGAAAGTCCATGCATTATAACATTATAACAAGTTTTACTGTTGCTCTATAGGTGGCAGTATTGTACCAACTAGTATAGTATGATAACACACCTGTTTAAAATAAAGGAAATTAACACTGTGGGGTTAGAAAGGGCCACTGAACCATCTGCTAACCTCTCATCTGTTTTTCAGATTATGCTAGGACCTAATCTGAACTAATTCGCGCTCTCTCCTTAAGTCCTACCATCACAACCTCTCCTAAGTGCCCTACCTTTACCTAATTTTGGACTTCCTACATCCATCAGTTTAGAAAGTGTAATAAAACCAAAAGTATTCCAAAAACTATTATAGCTTCTGCACTTAGAAATTCTTTTCTTAAAAGTTGTGTTTTTTTTTAACACTTGGAGTGGGGGAAACGAGTTAAGTCGGCTCGCGTGAATTGCGCGTACTCCGCGGGATTCGCGCTCTCTCCTTAAGTCCTACCATCACAACCTCTCCTAAGTGCCCTACCTTTACCTAATTTTGGTATTACCAAATATTTGTTTGTAATCCACCCTTTTGGTGGATGGAACAAAACCAAAAGACAGAGCACTTAGAAATTCTTTTCTTAAAAGTTGTGTTTTTTTTTAATATGCCAGAGCTATTGATTACCCAAACACTAACCCAAATGGATACATTCAGTCTTTGATAAAATACTCTCTTGGGAAAATATAAACATGTATTCCATTTGTAGAAGGTTCCTTGCTTACTTGCTTAATTCATCTGTTTATTCATTCATCTTTAGGTTCAACATTTATTGCTGAGCCAGATAGTGTGCTGGATGCTGGGGAATTAGAGGTAAACAGGATAGTTCTTACCTCAAGGAACTAAATTAGTAAGTGGAGACAACAGAACAGTGCTGTAACAGGAGATATATGCCATCACTTGCTAAACACAGGGCCTTGTTCTCATGCCAGTATGGCTACAATGACCCCGAAAAACCCTATAGAGAGAGGAGCTTTCCTCCAGCTGTCTTCTCATGCTTCTTTCTCTCCTGAGATTTCTTGGAGATCACCTGCTCCTTGAAAACCTGATTATCTATTTCTCCTTTAAAAAAAATTAAACACTGCTTTTTAAATTTTTATTACAAACAATTTCAAACATATACAAAGATATAGAGAATGGTATAATGTGCCCATTGCCCACCTTCAAACCACTGTC